CCTAGCCCCTCCGTTCGTGTCTGAGATGAGGCCTGGGGAGCAGTCGGGACTGAAAGTCCCATTACTCTGGGCAAGACAAACCCTAATCCCTAGGCATATATGGGGGCTTCTTAAATGCAGGGGTACCCTTTGGGGGTCCCTATAATAAGGACTATTGGGGTCCCCCTATTTTGGGAAACTACCATATCTGGAGATGAGGTCCGTGACAAGGCCCTCCTTAGGCTTCATGACTCCCACGAGCCCTGTTTGGGAGGTTTAGGGTTTAGGGTTTAGATGGGTTTAGGGCTGTTGCAGAAGCTCACTTGAGCAGTCTCACCGTACCCCCCCCATTTAATTTGGGGTTAAGGGTTTACTGGGGGGGGGGTCAGGGGGACTTAGTAAGTAGGTTCATGAGGCGGATGACTAGGGTTACTATGGGTTGTAGGGGTCATTAACCTACTTACTAAGTCGCCAAGTCCCCCTGACCCTCCGAGTAGGGTGCCAATACCAAGCCACCGTCATCACTATCCTGCAAAGAGCAGTGCCCGAAGAAAAGCTGACTGACCCTACTACAGGGGCCTAAACAATGACCAATACTGTATCATTTCGAGGTCCGTTTGAGGTACCATAGACCAGAATTATAAAAGGAATGTGGAAGCTTAATATTCATTGGTAATCATTTAGACCCCTGTATCACGAAAACCCATGGGGCTTCATAATCCTCACGGGTGAATCCGCAACACAAAATCCTAAGGCCTCGAAGAAAAACACTGAAAATCCAAGCCCGCATCTTGGAGTGTAGAAAATTTTCTGTCAGGGTTAAGTATCCCCAAGATAGTAAGTAAAGGAAAAATTGCAGCACTTCCGACCCCATAATACCGCAATTCCTTCGACATCAAATACAGCGTAGGCTTCGAACCCAAGGTACTGTTGCAGAACCCCCCTTGAAACTAAAGCTGAGAACCAGTCTGTGAGTTCCATCCATAGATGGGGTATAGACCCCAACATACTAAACCCCAAACCCTAAACCTGAAACCTTTAAAACACTCCCAAGAAGGTTCGAAGGGTGCAAGCAGGTCGAGGCGCCCAAGTCGAGATGAGGACAAAGTAGAGGTTGACCTGCATCTTGAACTCATTGGGTTCTACGGTTTAGGTTGGGTACTGCCCCCACCCAGTAACAGTCTATATTAGGGGTCCTATTAAGGGCTATATAGAACCATAGTATAACTATTATCCAACTGTTACTGAGGGGGGGCAGTACTGAAGGTTGAGGGTTTTCGGTATAAGGTTTACCAGTCAGGGCTTAAGGTAGGTCACCACCCGCTACTCTGGTAAATTTCTCCTGTACCACTATTACTGGGTGGGTGCCGAACGTAGAGGAACATGCAGGAAGTGTAGCAACTAAACTCCTAGACCCACATGTACGCACGATTACCCTCCTCTCCAAAGTTCTCTCCACTTTGTAACCCTAAACCCTAAACCCCAGGGTCTTTGGCTTCAAAAGCCTCTCAAATTGGCAAACCCAGGGATACGCGGGGAGCGGGTGAGGTTTAGGGTTTAGTGTGGGACTTCCTAATCAAGAGTATATGATCTATATTCTGAACTTCTGGTTTACGCTTTAAAGGGTTTAGGGTGTTGGGACTGTGTGTGTGCGTCTCGTTCTAGTCACATCTATTCTATAGCATTGTCTCATCATCACCGGGGTGAAAGAGCGAGAGTCCATTCTTTGGAAATGATATGCAAGACATGTACAGATACTGTCTAGACTCCTGGTATCCCCCTTAATGACCCCTATAGTAGTTCCCTTTTTAATTCCCTATATAACCCCCTTTACGGAGTTTAGACTATAGCTCATGTACAGATACAGGCAAAAAGCATCCTGTGGCAGGTCCAGTGGTAAGGGTCTCACCCTATAGTCCCCCATTAGTAGATAGAATATGTGGTATATGGGGATATTAGTATAATAGACCCAAAGCCATGATCTATCTACTTAAGGGGGACTATAAACCCTGAACCCCTAAACCCTAAACCCATCTTTCTGTCCTGTGACGTTGCCTTCTACGATGCTTACCATGACCAGCCGTGCCCCAACGAGCCCTGCGACAGCAAAATGTGGTTTGACTTAGGTGGGCCCCCCACCCAGTAATAGTGACCAAAAGAGATACTAAAGATTATATTAGAGTCCTATTATATTCTGTAACCTCATGCTAAGACATCCACGTGCGCAGATTCATGACCCTAAGTCCCACAGACGCCCAACCCTCCCTGTATAGTCCCCTTTACGTATATAGAGTATGGAATTCCCAAGAACCTAATAAGATCCACATATATCCCATTTTCTACCCCTACACCCTAACTCGTAAACCCTAGACCCTACCCATTTTCTATCTGGGGTAGTTCCCACGATGAGAGTCCCATTTTGATACCCCTATATACTAGGTGCCGTAATATAATCTATAAGCACAAAGGACTCATGATTTTGAGAACAACCCATCTACCTAAGGGGGACTATCCCCATGGACCTGAAAATGAATCTTGGGCCGAGGCCGATGGCCGGCGCAAACAGAAGAGGTTGCCAGCGGTGTTTGCCTTATATACTTATATATATATGGGACTGTGTAGTAAGGGCCTATAAAGTAGTAGTGGGAAAGAAAATGGAAACTACTATATTAGAATAGGGTATATCTGCCTGACACAGCTCTGTATCAAAGGGTATAAATGGGGCTATATGGGGGTTGTCCAATATTCCTTCTCCTAAAAACAACCCTTTCGCCGCCCTTTCGCGACCTTTCGCGGGCTTTCGCCAGCAGCATTTTCTTGAGATGCACAACAAACCTTATCCAAATCCTATTTACATGTCCTGTATTTGAAAGATTTGTTGAATGCTTGTA